AGCTTTGGTGCAACTCCTTTTGGAAACAGGAAGATTTTAAGCAGCTGATAGCACTTGAACTCAAATTCTCCACATTTGGGTCCTATTTAAGGCCTAGGGATCTCCTTTAGCACATTTCCTTCTGTCCTGTGACCCGTGGTAAACATGGGGTAGGGATGTGAGCCGTGCTTGCCATGGGATGTGATGGGAAGGCTCCCTCCTTAGGCTCAGAGCCAGTCTCCTAAAGTTAGTGTTGAGGATAATGTTTTGGCAAAGTGCTGACTCCTTGGTTTTCCCCATCATTGTCCTTATAAAAACCGCCCTTTCCTGAACTATTATTGCATTTCTTCTCGATTGGTAGCAAAAACAATGATCCATAGATTTGGCTCTTTCCATTTTAACCTGTTCTGATATTGTTTACTCTGGTGGAAAATGGGAACCATGCCAGCACGAGTTTAGGCAGTGGCTAATTAATATCAGAGATTTTTTTCTGTTAGCCCCACTTCCTTGCAGCATGTTTTTTACTGCCCACCGCTATTTCTCTCCTATTCCTCTGCAGGGTTACTGCAGTGCCACTGAGGCACGGATCCTCCCCTTACAGAGTGAGTTCGGTGAAGGCAGCAGAGGTAGGAAACCCTGCCTGCTGCCCCAGCTGTGGGTCAAGCCCCTGAGCTGCACAGCCCCATGCTTTTGGGTCTCCCCTTTGCGTTCCTGCTGTCAGCGCTGGCAGGGGAAGTAGGAGCCTTCCCAAAGAAGGGGCTTGCAGGCAAAGAGCAAGAATCTTTTGGCATTGTAGTGGCCTGCCTTTGAACCGGTAACTTAGCCTTGAAAAACCAGAGCTGGTAATTGCCTATCTTGATAATAACCATGTGAATGCTGTTATCTAGTCCACCCTTCCACTTTCCAGCCATTGTGCGGTGGCGCTGCCTCATTCCTTGGCTTGGCGATACCTGCACATTTCCTAGGAACCGAATCAAAATAGTCTCTTGATCTCGCTGCCCATTTCCTTGCCTGGCTGGGCATGAAATCACAGGTCTGCATCATTGCCAGGAGCATCCAGCTTCCTTTCATGGATTTATTCCAGCCACTGTTTTGCTAACTGAAAGCCTTCCAAATTCAGCATCATAGTCTACTTACTGGGTTTCCCAAAGCCACGTAAACTCTTCTAACTGCTTCCCTGCGGCCTTGGGACAGTTTCCATAAGCATATGTTCTCTGCCCTCTTTTTTCATCTCAAATCGGTTTCCTTACAGCTAACAGGAGCTACTGTCTGTCTGATGGGAGACGGGGCTTTAAACTAGGGAGTAAAGTGCTTTTAGTGGGAAGTAAAATCCATAATTGTACAGATTTAAAAGATTGTGGACAAAAACCTAGTTTCTTGGCATAATTATAGCCTTTTTCCTTCTCATTAACCCTTCCATGAATCAGCTGTCACTCTCTTTCCCCCAGTGCCTGCTCCCTTGCTCTCCATGAGCTATGCGCACCTAATGAGCCTCCCGGCTGTTGCTGTTCTGCTGTGATACTTGCTGTTTCCTTTTCAAGCCCCGAAGGGGAAGGGTTCATATGGCCAAAACCTCTCTGCCGTCTTCCAGTTCTATTAGTTCATCTAATAAAAAGGATTACCTCTACCCACCTCCCACTCCTCCCTTACATAAGAAGCATGAATCATCAGGATCTCAAAAGCATAGTATCTGCCCAAAGAGCCAACTTACAAAGGACCATTGATAGCCCCATTATTTATTGGAACCACAGCCTCAGGCGTCAGCAGGAGCCCGGGCAGGGAGTAGGCTCAGTATGGGCAAGGGCCTTCCAGCTTTTAGGTGGCCCTTCCCCATAGCATCCCCATTCTGAACCCATTGCAGCAACACTTCAGCTTGCTCCTTTCAGGTGGATTCACAGGATTTTATGAGCTTGTATAATGTCAAGAATTTATTTTTCTCAGTCTACGTAGGGCAGAATTGGAGCAAAGCTCCCTGTGAATAGGTGTTGCAGTCAGAGACAAGTTTTTTAAGTCTACTTCTTTTCATTTTTCTCTTTTTTCAAGAAAATGATGGTGGCATTCAGCACTGGATGTGCTGGCAGACACAGGGAGAGTCCCCCTCGGTTGCAGATTTGTCCTTCAGGGGCTAATGGAAAGCCGCTCTGCCCTTCTGGTTTCAGCTGGGGAATCAGAGAAATAACCATGCTCCAGTAAGTCCCAGCCACCCAGAAACCTGTGGTTAGGGATTGCTGTCACACTCCACATCAGAGCACACAAAGCAAAGACAGCATTTCATTTTTTCCCCAGCATGGCAGGACATGAATCAAAGCAAAGGCAGGCGAGCAAATCTGGGCCAAGGAAAACTGGGAGGTGCTGAATTACCAAAAGTACTTTGGATAGGTCACTGCTACTCAAGTGTCAAGAGAAGGGAACATGTATGTGTATGTAGGTGTCTGGCATCTCTTGGGCTCCATCCTATTTTGGGATAGCCCAGGCAGGAGAACGGTAAATCCCCAAAATACATATTCTCTGTCTTAAATTTGAGTGAGATTGAGTGTGTGTGGTGAAGGAGAGTGAAAATCAAACCCATTTCTCCTTGGCTTCAAAAGCTTGGACTGCAAGGGAGCTCTATTCAGGTAGGATATGAGGGCAGGGTTTTCCTTATTCAGCAAAAGTTCCAGGCAGGGTAACACAGTTGTGCCAAGCTAAATCAATGGCAGCTCTTTTTCCAGCCACATCTCTGTTTATCTCGGACCTTTTATGCTCCTATGACTCCAGTGGTTCACATTGTGCTGGGTGGCACTTGGCCTTAATTTTTCAGAAAAGATTTAAGGTTAATGGCTAATGTGCAGAGCACTTTGTTCTCCAAAATGCCTGTCCATCCTCTCCTCTCTCTACACAAATCTCCTCCGCTTGCTCAAAGGCTTCTTTTCCTCCTATGGGATGTGTTCTCCCCCATCTCAAGTCCAGCTCATCCTGGTTGTCTTTTACAGCTTTGTTATATTTAGAAGCCTGAATCTACCTAAACTGAGTGAAGACCCAAATTTCAAGGTATTTTTGGTCACCTAACCACTCGGGTGGCGCCGGCGCAGACCCCCCCATGTGCTCAGCCTGACTCTAGGGGTGGTGGGTGTGAAGCATCAACCAGCTTTTCAGAGTGGCCATGCCATATGAAGTGTCTGGGTGCTTTGACAGACACGACCATGAGATACTTTGGATTATTGACCCTGGCACGTGCCAGGTTTCTGAGATGCAAAGAGCACCTGTAGATTTTGACACTCAAAGGTGCCAAAGGAGGAGGGGAAGCGGTCCAGTGTCAGGCCAATGCAGGGCAGCCTTCCTCTCAGCAGGACGTCTGCAGTAGCAGGTTGAACATCTTCCTAGCTTTCTCCATCCCTGCTTTTTGCCCAGGCTGCTGAAACACAGCCCCCTTTCAGGTCGCTTTCAGGACAAAGATGCAGGCACAGAGGCTGCCCGGTGGAGTGAGGCAGAGCCAAAACACTTCCAGCTCCCAGCCAGGGCAATGGAAAGGCTTAAGGAGCAACAAGATGAGCAGCCCCCTGGTTTGGTTAAAACTTCTAGAGCTGTTTGGTTTCCTAGCTTAAAGAACTAGAAGTGGTTTTGAAAGACAAAAAGCACATGAAGCCACCACATGGTCTGTTGGTGGGGATACGTTTGCTGCTGAAGGAGTCTTGCTCCCCTGGACAATGCTACCCAGGCGTCTCCGAGGTCTCAGTGTGATGCTGCTGCCAGGCAGCCTCACAGCACTGACCACCTTGACCTTGTAAAATTGCCATAGAAGTAGGGGCCAGCACGGCCAGCGCAGCTGTCCCCACCCCTGAGGATGGGACTCGCCAAGAGGAGAGTGACTTGTGCTGGAACTGCCCCAGAACTGGCGATTCAAGCCCAGGGCTGGGAGCCACCCTCCATCCCCAGCCATCGGTGCAAGGAGAAGCAGCAACAAATGCCAGGTCAGCCCCTGCTGCCTCCCAGCCCCGGGGAGGGGACTGCCACTGCGCCACTCTGCGTGGGCACGGCCCAACGTCATATCCTGCAACCTGAATTTGGGAGCTGGGTGAGAGCAATGGTACAGCCACATGCGTCTCAGGGCTGCTGTGCACAGCATCCCCCTTTTGGCGGGGGAGAGGCCAGAAGTACAGATCTAAACCTATCACACTGGAAGTTGCCCTCAACCTGTGGCTGTCTAAGGGCAAGTGAGAAATCATCACAGAGGGGATTAAACATGTGGCTCTCGTGGGGCAACCTGCAGGGAGCTGGGAAACAAGTGTCCCCACAGCAAGGGTTGTCCTCTGGAGGGGACCCTGTGCAGAGCTGGGAAGAAGCGGGCATGAGGTGCCAGTTTTATCTCTCATGGAAGAGCAGTGGCAGCAAGACAACCCTGCCAAGGCCACAGCGGAGCTGGTTTTTTGAGGGGTAAGAGCTGTCCTTCGCTTTGAGCAATGACTACTGTAGAAAATAAAAAACAGCCATCTGCCCCCCTGCAGCTGCATGGGGCTGGGGGATCACAGCAGCCTCTTGCAGGGGGAGAAAACAGGAATCTCCATGCATCGTGCCATGGGGGGGGGAGGGGGACAGGGTGTTTGGGCACCCCCCATACTTCCTCTGCTGCTGCCGGCACTCACAGCATTCCTTGAGCTGGCTGGCCCCCCTCTACTCCCTGGGCCACCCAAACTCCGTTTCACACCTCGTGCCATTGTTGCCATCACTGACACACAAGATCAAACTCGTGGCGTTTTGGTAAAATCCATAGGAAATCATTCCACAGCCTTTCCTTCTGTTTAGCTTAGCAGACTTCCAGTAGATTCATTTCCTTTTTTTTTTTCTCTCCCCCTTTTAACAAAAACAAGCAGCGTGCTAAGAAACGCAAACCCGCTGAGATGTTTTCAGCCTTGGCCAGAGCCGCCTGAACCCCCCCCGGGGCCGGGAGGCTGCCTCTGGCCGGGGCTCAGCAGGCGGCTTTCTGGGACAGCCATTTCCGCAGGGA